GTCTTCCTTGCGGGCAAGGGGGTCGAGACAGCTGTGTTAGCTCCAGGGCAACGAGGAGCCACTGGAGGGGTCTGACAAGAGTGGTATCAACATTTTAAATGCTCACTTTGTATTTATTTATTTTTTGGTACAAGGGGCACTCCTACTGAGCCACATTCCCAGCTCTTCTATTTGTTCTTTAGGCTGGACGACTGTTGAAAGCCATCCATGGGCTGTGTGTGTGAGCTATGTGCATTGCAGCTATATGAGTGGACAGGTCTGGCATTGCACGCTGACTGGGCTGTGCCATGCAAGTGCCCCTCTCCTCTCCCTCTTGGGTGATCCCACACAGCACCTGAGATGGGTGTGACTTGCCAAGATGTCAATCAATCTGCTGGCCACAGGTATCAGAAGCAAGACTCCACCTTTGAAACCTTATCCCTGACTTATTTGGTGTAGAATATTCTAACGAAAATCCTTTGTCTTTTTTACCCTATAAATAAAGGGATTGCAGGTGCTCTCCCTCTCTTGCCTTCCAGAGTGGAAGAGGACCCATGAGGTTGCAGAGCAGTCCCACTCTGATATGAAAATTACTTATGTGTCCTGTGCTTTCTCGCTGTTTTCTTAGCTTAATGTTGCAGTCAGCTCTTTTGAAACCATCTTATCTAGTCAGCGCCGGTCGCTGGCCAGAGATGACCCTAACTTCTTTGGATCAGGGGGAGTGGCCCTTCCAATATAAAAATCCCTTAACTCCTGGTGTGCACCCTTACCCACTTCAAAGCCAGCCTTCACAGTTACTTCCTTCTCACGTCTACCTGTGAATTCATTCCTAATCGTGTTTCTTCTTTAATATTTCTTAAATAAGGACAATGGCTTCTCAACTCTGCCTGTGCTTTCTGTTTAACAGCCAGAATGCGCTCTCTCTCTCTCTGTCTCTCTCTCTCTCTATATATATATATATGGCAGCACTGGCATAGTTTACAGACATTGGACTTTATTATAAGATAGGATGGAGACCCACGTGCGGTGGTGCAGGTCTGTAATCCCACCTATGCTGAGGGAGGAGGATCACAAATTTGAGGTCAGTCTGGCAAGACTCTGTCTCAAAAAATAAAAAGGGCTGGGCATGTAGCTTAGTGGTACAGAGTTTGCCTAGCATGTACGAGACCCCGGGTTCAATCCCCCTAGGGATCAGAGACAGAATATGGAGAAATATTGGACATGTTTTATAGGTCTCCGCTCCCCCGGGTTAATAACACACACTAAAATCATTTGGCTTGTTTTGGCGACAGCTTCTCATTCTACCCAGACAGGAGATAAGGCCAAGGTGGGGCCTTATCTCCTCTCCGAGGCTGAATGACAGGCCCGCACTCCTCTCTCCCCTCACTCTGCCGGCGCCGGTGTCCCCAAGCCCTCTGGGAAGTGGAGTCCTTCCGCCCGGACCCCCGACCCGGCGCTGTCGCCTCCAAGTGCGCAGATGCGACTCCAGGCGGAGCGGCGTCGAGCTCGAGCCTTTTGTGTCCCCGCGCTCCGTGGTTCTGGCCGGCGGCCCCGTCCGCTCCTTCAGCAGTCCGGGAGAGCGCAGCCCACGAGGACCCAGCCCCGTGGTCAGAGCGGGGCCCGGAGCAGGTCCGGGGGTAAGTGAACTCAGGGGTGCCACCCGTTTGTGCGCGCGGCTCTAACGCTCTCGCCGTAGCCCCAGAGGCTTTTCAGGTTCCAGCCCGGGTAAAGCTGGGCCGCCCCAGCTTCCCGCCCAACCGCGGGGGCGGGCGCGCACCTCCGGGGTCTCCATCCCGGGCGCGCGGGAATATCCGGGCTCCGCTAGGAGCTCGGGGCCCGCTGGGGCGGGGCTGCCGCTAAGGCCTCTGGGAAGTGGAGTCGGGTCTCGGAGGATTCTGGGAGCCAGCGTGGGGTGGGCGGAGCCCTCAGGCTGGAGTCGCGGGGGACCAAGAGCACCTGTCGCTGCTTTTGGACCGGAGCGGCGGCGTTCTGCACCTGGGCGGCCTGTGTCTTGCCCATCCCCCTTCTGTGCTTTGCTCTGCCAGAGTTTTGGGGTCTCCCTGTACTGGGGGACCATTGTCAGCAGCCGTTTGGCTCTGAATGTTCAAGGAGTCCCCAGCTTGTACTTATCAGGACCTTAAATTAAAAAGCGAGTGAGGAATCTGAACTATAAGAATCCCATTTACTGCTTCGTGTTGGTGAATATGAAGGATGAACCAACTGTAGCGCCATAGAGTTACTGCTACCATAATGACAGGCCACCTTCTTGCTGCTTCTGTGCTTTAGAGTCTTGTAGGAGGTATTTTTTTGTGTTTTTTTTTTTTAATTCTTTCTTGTTTTTTGTGATGCTGGGGATAATCGAACCCAGGGCCTTCAGCGTGCTAGGCAGGTGCGCCACCATTGAGCGATACCCTTAGCTCTCATAGGCATTTCTGAAGGTTTTGGAAATAGGTGTGTGACTGAGGCTCACTGCCCTGATCCCTCCTGGTATTGTTTTGATACTCCAGAGGATGGTTTTCCCAACCGTGGAGATTAATTTCCTCCAATAATAAAGATTCCAAGCAAAGTTGAAGTACGTATTAGGCATTAGGACTTAAATGCATAGGAACGAATTTACCGGGACTGGAAATAGAGTAAGTATCTCCCTCTGTTCCACAGGGAGCAGGAATGAGTTCTAGAGGAAGGCAAACCTGACCTCAAAAATCTCTCTGTAGAGTTTCACAGCGGAGTTGGGTGATTTACAGGAAGAAACAGGTTATGTGTTGCTGAAAAGTCCATTTTCATCTCATCAGAAACAGTATATACTGAGAAAAAAATAGCAGGACAAGGAAGAAAAGCTGATCATGGATTATCTTACCATTGAAGTTGAGCCAACAGGTAAGAACTATGGAAAAAAAAAAACATGAAGTTGAAAGTGAGAAGTGGGAGAACTACCTCTTATGCAATGAGAAGGCCCCACATGATAGAAAAGAGAAGCAGATATCTGTCAGAGAAGTCTCCAGAGTAAATATTATCACAATTAGAAATAATTAGTAGGGCTAGTCATGGTGCCTATATCTGTAATCACAGCTTCTTGGGAGGCTGAGGCAGGAAGATCACAGGTTCATGATGAGTGTAGGTAATTTAGCAAGACCTTGTCTCAAAATTAAAAAAAAATGAAAAGGGCTGGGGACATAGCTCAGTGGTAGAGAGCCCCTGAGTTCAATTCCCAGTAACACACACATGCACAAAATAAATCATTGATCGGCTCCTGTAGCATGTTCTCCAGTCCCCTCCTCCTCTTTCTGCACTGCTGGACTCATCCACATCCCCTCTAAAAGCTGTAGAAGGGAGAATATTCCATAGTGTTTGCATTCATGAAAAGCACAGGTAGCACTTTTCTACCCCTGATAGACTCTTCCAAAAAGATGATATGTTTGGGTACTGTGAGTTTAATTTTTTTTGGAGGGGGCATTGAACTCTGGGGTGCTTAACCACTGAGTTCCCTCCCCAACCACTTTTTTTTTTTTTGGCTGGTTTCACTTCTGAGGCTGGTCTTGAACTTGGGATCCTCCTGCCACAGCACCAGGTGTGCACCACCATACCTGCGAAATTTAACCTTTTTTTTTTTTATTAAAGGACTTTCACTTTGTTGTCCTACACTATCCCAAACTGAGAATTTTTAGTTAACAAGAATAGTCTTATTATATAATTAGCTTTTTTTATAGTGAATTTGGGAAAATGGATGTTATCTCCTTCATGGTTTGTTTGCTGTTCCTTCCAGCCATGACTACTGATGCTTCTCTAACCCCAAAACAGAGCACAGAAGAAATGGAACCTACTGTTGAACTTCTTCCTGTCGAGTTCCAGGTGAATTTGAGTTTAATTTCATTTTGCTAAAATCTTGGTACAATGTGTCCTTGTTCCTTTCTTTCATGTTTCAGAGATCAAAGGAAATCCTATTTAGAGAATAGCACAAAAATAATTTTTTCTTAAAAACTTGAAGCTCTGGGGAGAGCTCAGGTTGGAGGTTTGAATTTGAGTAATCTATATGGACCATATTTAAAACTATGAAACTGTGATCATTAAGAGAATGAGTATGGAAAGAAAAGAAGCAAGATATCATGACTGACTGCTTAGCTCTCCAATTAGAGGTCAGAAAGATGGAAGGAAGCAGCAAAGGAGACTGAGAAGATGTGACCACTGAGGTGGAGGGAAAGTATGGCATCCTGGTCACCAATTGAAGAGAGTGTTGTAAGGAGGAAGGAGTGTTAAATCAGCTGTGTTAAATGCTGCTTCTCAATTAAGAAAGACAAGGCCTGGGAATTGGATTTAAAGATAGGAAGATTACTGGTGACTGCGAATGGCAATTTCATGGAATGATAGCATGGGAATGAGTTAAAAAAATAATGGAGAGATATTAGAGCCACAGACGATATACAACTATTTTAGAGAGTTCTACTTTAAATGAAAAGAGTTGGGGTGATAATTGAAGACTAAAGCGGTGTTTGATCATTTGTGAGAGTTTTTGATACGGAGGGTTGAACTCAGGGGCACTTGACCTCTGAGCCACATCCCCAGTCCTATTTTGAATTCTATTTAGAGACAGGATCTCCCTGAGTTGCTTAGTGCCTCACGATCATTTGTTCTTTAAAGATAGGAAAAATATATTATTTATAGGTACATGAAAGTAGGTGGAGAAGAAAAGATGCTTCAAGATTGAGCCCTGAGAACTCAAAATTTAGAGCCATTTTTCAAATATTACTAAATTTTTAAAAAAATAAGTAATTGGGAGAGTTAGGGAAAATACTTACAGATGAAGAAACTGAGACTCATTGTAACTTGCTCAGAACCATCAAATAGTGGGTCAGAATTGAGATATGTCTCGTTCTCAATTCTGTTCCTCTAGCCAGTATAATCTATTTTTTTAAGAATTTTTTTTCATAATACCTTTATTCTACTTATTTATTTTTATGTGGTGTTGAGGATTGACCCCAGGGCCTCACATGTGCTAGGCAAGTGCTCTACCACTGAGCTACAGCCCAGCCGCAGTCTAATCTGTTGAGTGACTTTTCCAGAAAGAATTCTGCAGGTAAGTCTGGTTAATAAAGTACATGTATGACTATCAGCATACATAGAATTTGAATCTTAGCCAGGCTCAGTGGTGCAGGTCTGTAATCTCAGCAGCTCAGAAGGCTGAGGCAGGAGAATCACAAGTTCAAAGCCAGCCTGGGCAAAAGTGAGGCACTAAGCAACTCAGTGAGACCCTATCTCTAAACGAAATACAAAATAGAATGAGGATGTAGCTCAGTGGTTGAGTGCCCCTGAGTTCAATCTCTAGTACCTCCCTGCCACCAAAAAGAAGAATATGAATCTTACCTTGGAACAGTAGATAATTTTCAACTTAAGTTAGTAAATTCACTCATTCAGAGAAAATTTAACTACCAAAGTATAACTGAATAAATCTAAAAGTCATGACCCAAAATCCAGAGCAAAAAGACGCCTGCCTGTTAGAATAGCACTACTATCTACATACATTCAAAATATCAACTTGAATTTCTTTAAAATCTCAGAATATACTTGGGATCAGTGTAAGTTACATATTTGAGCCTTATCTCATCAACAACAGTGATTAACATTGGGTTTTCATTCAGTGATTAATTCATTAGATCATTTAGTAAAATATAAGAGGCAGAAGACTATAGTTAGGAGTATAGCTTTGAAGTCATTATTGCCTGGTCTAAATCTCAGATCTGACCCTAACATCTGTAGATGATATTAATAATAATACTTAATATTGTATTATATGATTGTTCTTATGAGATAGTGCAAAGGACTTAGTCCAAGTAAGTACATTTTTATAAATCTTAGATTTTTAATATTATGTTTCTTAACAGACTAATATTTAGTAATTTGATGAAATTCCATTAAGGTAAAGGTTTAACCTTCAGATTGAAAAGGATTTTCTCTTCTAGATTATTTCCTCCCCTCAGGATTAACAACCCCTGATTTAATGTGCTTGATCTTCCAGGAATTGATGACAGTCAAAGATGAGGAAATGGACTTCACACATGAAGAGCTGGAAGAGCTGAATTCTGCCCACAGATACATGGGCATGGATATGAAGGTGGATAATTATGGAAGCCTAGTATTTTGGGGTAAGGAAATATAATTTTTGTGTTGCAAACTGCTTTTTAGGACACTAGTATCTCAGCCAATTTGAGCTGCTATAAAAAAATAGGATAAACTGGGTGGCTTATAAACAACAAAAGTTTACTTCTAAGTTTCTGGAGGCTAGGAATTCCGGGATCAAGGTGCTAGCATGTCTGGTATTTGGACCCACTTTCTGGTTCATAGATGGTGCCTTTTCATTGTTCATATAGCAGAAGGGTCTTTCTGGGGCCTTTTTTTTCCTGTTGAAGATGGAAACAATACATTTATTTTGTTTATTTATTTTTATGTGGTGCTGAGAAGTGAACCCAGTGCCTCACAGGTGCAAGGCAAGCATTCTACCGATGAGCCACAACCCCAGCCCCTAGGGCCTTTTTTTATAAGACTTTTTAATTGTATTCCTGAGGGCTGTTTTCTCATTATATAATCATCTATCAAAGTCCCCACTTTGGAATACTATCAATGTGGGGGTTAAGATTTCAATACATGGGGCTGGAGTTGTGGCTCAGTGGTAGAGCGCTTGCCTAGCATGCATGAGGTTCTGGGTTCCATCCACAGCACCACATAAAAATAAATGAAGAAAGGTATATGTCCAACTAAAATATTAAAAAAAAAAAAGATTTCAATACATGAATTTTGGGGGGATGCAAACATTCAGACCATGACTGAAAGCTTCCTCAATAATTAACAGAATATAAAATGCCATAGTTTTGCACAGATTCAAAGACCCCCTCATCCTCTAGGGGGTCTCTGACCATTCTGGGCTTCCCTCTCTCTCTCTCTCTCTCTCTCTCTGTCTTTAATATTTTTGGTTGTAGATGGATATAATACCTTTATTTATTTATTTTTTTATGGTGCTGAGGATCAAACCCAGAGCCTCATATGTGTGAGGCAAGCGTTCTACCACTGTGCCACAACCCCAGCCCCAAAGTTTTCTCTTTTGAAAAGTAAAAGTTCTTTCTAGTGAAACTGAAAAAGGACAGCTTTATTATATTGATATTAAGACTTATAGGGCTGGGGATATAGCTCAGTTGGTAGAGTGCTTGCCTCTTATGCACAAAGCCCTGGGTTCAATTCCCAGCACCACATACACAACACACACACACACACACACACACACACACAGAGAAAAGACTTGTAAAGCTACAGTAATCATAATGGTATGATACTGATGAAAGCATATATATAAATAATGGAACAAAATAGTCCAGAAATAAACATACATATATATAGTCAATTTCTGGCAAAAGTTCAAAAGTAATTTAGTGGAGAAAAGAGAGTGTATTTTTTTATGCTTTTTATTTTTTGGTGCTGGGGATTGAATCCAGGGCCTTGTGCATGTGAAGCAAGCACTCTACCAACTGAGCTATATCCCCAGCCTCTTTTTTATGCTTTTTTTAAAAAAATTTTTTTATTAGTGCATTGTAGTTATGCATAATAGTGGGGTTCATTTTGACCCAGCCATACATGCATAAATGAGCTGGGGCTGTGGTGCAATGGTAGAGTGCTTGCCTAGCTTGCATGAGGCACTGGGTTCAATCCTCAGCACCATATAAATGTAAAATAAAGATATTATGTTCACCTAAAACTTAAGAATATTTAAAAATATATATATATATATACCATAGTGAATTTCATATATATTTATATATAAAGTTTCCATTTAAAAAACAGTAAATAAATAGGAAGATCAAGTGTTGAGTAGAGGAAGGAGAACCAGGGTTTGGGAAAGAAGGAGACTCTTCTTTCCAGTTGTTCAGCTGGATATCGATTTGTAAGAAAGAAAGAAAGAAAGAGAAGGAAGGATGGAAGGAAAGAAAGAAAATAAAAATAAACAACAAACCTTCATGGGCTGGGGATGTGGCTCAAGCGGTAGCATGCTTGCCTGGCATCCGCAGGGTGCTGAGTTTGATCTTCAACACCACATAAAAATAAAATAAAGATATTGTGTCCACCTCAAACTAAAATAAATATTTTAAAAAACCCTTTAATCCATACCTCTTGCCATATTTAATAAATATAAAAACTCTACAAGAAAACTTTTAAGAACGGTCTTTGTGACTTTTTGTAAGGCAAACTTCGGTTAGCTATAACTCTAAATGCTTGGTCCAGTAAAGCCATCTGAGCCTGGCATTTGCTTTGTTGGAAAATTTCTGTCTTTTTTTTTTTTAATAGAGGGATTAAAAAATATTTTTAGTTGTAGATGGACACAGTAACATTATTTTGTTTATTTAGTTTTTTTATGTGGTGCTGGGGATTAAACCCAGGGCCTCACACATGCTAGGCTCTGAGCTACAACCCCAGTACCTCCCTGCTCCCATTTTTTTTAATTGGTCTTAGGGATTGACCCCCAGGGGTGCTTAACTACTGAGCTACATCCCTAGCCCTCTTTATTTTTTTATTTTGAGACAAGATCTAAGTTGCTTAGGGCCTCACTAAGTTGCTGAGGCTGGCATTGAAATTGTGATCCTTCTGCCTCATCCTCCCAAATTGCTAGGATTACAGGTGTGCATCACCATGCCTGGCTCTATAGTTGAATTTAAGACTTGTCCTTTATCTTTGGTTTTCAGTGGTTTGAATGTGTCATCTGGGTAGGGGTGTGTGTGTTTTCATCCTACATGGGATTCTTTGAGCTTCCTTGCATCTTCAATTTGATGTCTTTCATTAGTTTAGTAAATTTCTCAGTTGCTAACTCATCAGATACTGTTTCTTCTAATTCTCCTCGTCTCATCTCTTTCTAGGATTTTAGGTACATGTATGTTAGAGCATTTGGTTTTGTCCCACAGTTTTTTTTTCTTTTTTTAATATTTTTTCAGTTGTCAATGGACCTTTATTTATTTATTTATATGCGGTGCTGAGAATTGAACCCAGTGCCTCACACATGCTAGGCAAGTGCTCTACCACTGAGCCACAACCCCAGCCCCTTGTCCCACAGTTTTTAGGTGCTCTGTTCTGATTTGCTAGATTGTTTTTCACTCTTTTTTTCTTCTTTGTATTTAGTTTAATGATTTCTGTTGACCTATTTGCAAGTTTATTCTTTTTCTTAACTATGTCAAGTACATAGTTAGAAAGACATTGTTCATCTCTGTTACCATGTTTCTTTATTTCTGGTATTTCCATTTTACTTTTTCTTATACTTTCCATCTCTCTGCTAAAATTCCCCAACTGTTCATGCATGTTGTCCACCACATTATGTAACAATCATAGTAATTTTCAATCTCTCACAGTTCTACTCTCTGGGTAATCATTCATTTTTATCTGTTGATTACTCTAACTATGGTGCACTCAATCTTGAGTAGTATTGAGAAGTGGTGCATGGAGCATGGTTGAAAGCTGATCCATACTCATATGTATACATAATTTGATGTGATCAGTTTCATTCCAGAGTTGAAATTGAGGCTGTTGCATTAGGGTAGGTGAGAGAGGATGGTGGCTGAATTGGGGTGACAATCATGGGGAGGGAGAGTTCATAATGGATCTGAGAGAGCTTTGGGAGGTATGATCCATAAAACTTGGTGATTTATATTTTGTGGTTGGTAGGATGTAGGGAAGAATCCAGTGGGATTCTCAGTTCTCTGACTTTCAGCTTCAACAACTTCATGGTTTTGTATTTGTATATTTAACCCTTTAGAATAGCAGAATAGCAGCTTATGGGGCTGGGGGTGTAGCTCTGTGGTAGAGTCTTGCTTAGTGTGTACAAGGTCCTATTTTGATCCCCATCACCACACACACACACACACACACACACACACACACACAGGATAGCAGCTTACACATAATGAATAGTGTTTTAGTCAGTTTTTTTGATACTGTGATGAAAGGACCCAACTAGAACAACTATAGAGGAAGAAAAGTTTATTTGGGGGCTCAGAGTTTCAGAGGTCTCAATCCACAGGTAGCAGGCTCCATTCCTTGGGGCTCTAGGTGAGGCACAACATCATGGTGAAAGAGCGTAGTGGAGGAAAACAGCTCACATGATGATCAGAAAGCAGAGGAAAAAAGAGAGAGAGAGAGAGACACACAGACAGACAGACATTCCACTTGCCAGATAGAAATATATACCCCAAAGCTATGCCTCCGATGCCCACCTCATTCAGCCACACCCCACTTGCCTTCAGTGTTCATTCAATTAATCCCATCATGCGATTAATTTACTAATTGGCTTAAGGCTTTCATGTCTGTCATTTCTTCTTTGAACTTTCTTGCATTGTTTCACACATGAGCTTTTGGGGGACACCTCACATCCAAACCATAACAAATAACATGAGAGTGTTTAATCTAAATTTAAGTTCATATTATATGTTGAATTTCATTTATTCTGATATTGTCAATTTCTGAAACTTATGACAACATTAAGAATATATTTGCCTGAAATATCAGGTATGTTTTCATAATAGGATAAAAGAATCTTAAGAATTGCCCTCCAGAGTTGCTTCATTACTTATATTATTTGTGTCCACTTCATACGACCTATTAACGCATGCTTTCTCTCTACCAGCACTGTAATAGGACCTGGGTAATATCAGTGAACAAGAGAGGTGTTATTCCTTCCCTAACATAACTTGCCTTTTGGTGACAAAGTTTATATTCTTATATTAAAATCTTTTTATTAACAAGAATGATGGCATTGTTATTTTCTTAGATGGGGAAATATATAGTGGAATGTATATATTTATAAATGTATAAAGTTGAGAGAGGAGATGAATCAAGGTATAAGTAATTTTAAGTTTGTGGTACAGGTAACATTAAACTTGAGATTTTCAAATGCATACATAATATAGATATTTGAATATATGGATATGGGAGAGAGAGAATTAATGTGGTAATTAATTCTGGAAAAATGGATTTGGAATCATTGGTCTATAGCAGGTTATTAAAACCATGGCGTAGATAGGTCTTTAAAGTAGAGAAAGTAGGCAGAGGGGCAAGAAGAAGGGAACTGAGACTGATTGCTAAGAATTATTAACATTTAAGAAGAAGAAACACCAGGAAAAGTTCCAAAGAAGTAGCAGAGATTAGGAAGGCTGGATGCAGTGACTACAGGAGGCCGAAGTAAGAGAATCTCAAGTTCAAGACCAGCCACGGCAATTTAGTGAGACCCTGTCTCAAAATCAAAAAGAAAAAGAGCTAGGGGTGTGGCTCATGGATAAAGCTGTCTTGGGTTTAATCTCCAGTACTGAAAAAAAAAGTTTAGGAGAAAACCCTGGAGAGCATTTATGTTATGTTAGTCAGCATTCCATTACTGTAACACATACCTGAGATAATACATTTATAAAGAAAAAAGATTTATTTTGATTCACAGTTTTGGAGGTTACAGTCCATGGTCAGTTGGCCCGATAGCTTTTGGGATTGTGGTTACACAGTGCCTCATGACAGGTAGCATGTGGCTGAGCAGAACTGTTCACCTCATGACTGGGATGCAAAAGTTGAGAGAGAAAGAGACTAGAGTCCCACAGCACTTTTGAAGGCACATACACAGTGACCTAAAACCTAACAGTAAGCCTCACCTCTTAGAGTTTCCATCCCCCTAATAGTGCCAAGATGGGGAACCAAGCCTTTAACCCTTTGGCCTCTGAGGGATATTCCAGAGGCCAAAGCATAGAATCAAGAATGTCAGGAGAGAGAGTCAGGAGAGGAGGGCTTGGCCCCAGTGTCAAGTGCTGCCTAGATACCACACTACACAGGACTGAAAAGGATCCTCTGGATTTATGCACGGTAGAAATGGTTAGTGACTTCAGTGAGAGAACTTTCAACTGAGTGGTCGGGAGAGAAGCCAGAATGCAGCAAGCACAGGAGCAAGCTTGTGATGAAAAGAAGCTGCAGAATCTGCTTGAGAAGTTTGGCTGTGATAAAAGGAAGGAAAGGAAGGAAGGGAGGGAGGGAGGAGAAGGAGACTCAAAATCATATGTAAAACAGATAGAAAACAAACAAAAATTCTGTGTCTTTATAAAGGAACTTGAGAGGGCTGGGGTTGTGGCCCAGCAGTAGAGTGCTCATGTAGCATGTGTGAGGCCCTACATTTGATCCTCAGCACCACATAAAAATAAATAAACAAAATAGAGATATTGTGTCCAACTGCAACTAAAAAATAAATATTAAAAAAAATAAAAGGACTTGAGAGCCACAGTGGCACATGTCTGTAGTCCTAGCTACTGAGGAGGCTGAGACTGGAGGATTAGTTGAGCCCGAAAGTTCAAGACCAGCCTGATAACAGAGCAAAATATCAATACACACACACACACACACATACACACACACACACACACACACCAGGTGGGGAGGGCTGAAGAGAGCTATATAAAAAGCCACATGTGCTGGTCTTCAGGTAGTATCATTTTGAGTGATTTATTTTTAAAAACCTTCAAGTCTCAATCTGTGTTGTAATCTTTCCATCCTTTCTCAGTTCTTTTATGTTAGCATTTATTCTCATTCCTCTGTTCATCTTCTTCCCTGGTTTCTATGTACAGTTTTCTATTCTATTAGATACAGCATCCTCATCGTCTGGCCTTTTATTAGTATAAGGACTTTTATTAGTCATTCAAATATGTTTTTCCCCCATATTTTTTATTGGTGCATTATAATTATACATGGTAGTGGGATTCCTTGCTACACATTTATACATGTACCTGATATACATATATGTTTTTATAGGCATCGTTTTAATTTTGCCTTAGCAGTTTTTGTTTCCTCAACACAGAAATCACACACATTTTTTATTTTTATTTATTTCAGATTCTGAATCTATGCCTGAAACTAAAGAGTTTTTTTCAAAGCAGGAAGTTTATGAAGAGGAATCACCTGAAAGGGAACTGGTAATAGAAAGACTTGAAAAGGATGATTCCTGGGGCTCCACATTGTTAGAAGCCTGGGAATGTGAACACTCATTAGAAAGGCATCCAGGAAATCTGAAGAAAGATTTAAGGCCAGTCATAATCAAACGTAAGAGAAAAACTGCAGAGCATTATCATGAAATTGGGGAGAGCTCCAACCCAATTAAACATCAGAAAGTTTACCGGGCGAAAAAGCGATGGGAATGCAATGTATGTGGGAAGTGCTTCAGTTACTGCTCAGCCTTTGTCTTACATCAGAGGATTCATACTGGAGAGAAGCCCTTTGAGTGTAGTGAGTGTGGAAAGGCCTTTAGCCGGAGCTCATCACTTATTCAGCACCAGAGGACTCACACTGGAGAGAAGCCTTATGAGTGCAGTGAATGTGGGAAAGCCTTTAGTCACCGGTCTGCTCTTATTCAACATCACATCATTCACACTGGAGAAAAGCCCTATGAGTGCAATGAGTGTGGGAAGGCCTTCAACCAAAGCACATACCTCATTCAGCACCACAGAATACACACTGGCGAGAAACCCTACAAGTGTAAGGAATGTGGAAAAGCTTTCAATGACACTTCTTCTCTCATTAAACATCAAAGGGTTCATACTGGAGAAAAACCCTATGACTGTAAAGAGTGTGGGAAAGCCTTCAGTGACCGGTCAGGTCTTATTCAACATCAGAGAACTCATACAGGGGAAAAGCCGTATGAATGTAGTGAATGTGGAAAAGCATTTAGTTATTGCTCAGCTCTCATTCAACACCAAGGAACACACACTGGGAAGAAACCTTACAAATGTATTGAGTGTGGGAAAGCTTTCAGTGACCGGTCAGCTCTTGTGAGACATCAGAGAATTCATACTGGAGAGAGACCTTACAAATGTCAAGAATGTGAGAAAGCCTTCAGCCAGAGCTCATCCCTTACAAAGCACCTGAGAACACACACTGGAGAGAAACCATATAAATGCAACAATTGTGAGAAAGCCTTCAGCCAGAGTTCATCTCTTATTCAACACCAGAAAATTCACACAGGAGAAAAGTCCTACAAATGTAAGAAATGTGAGAAAACCTTCAGTGTCCGTTCAGCCTTCCATCAACATAAAAAAATTCATGATGGATAGAATGTACTAAATTCACAAAACATTCATTTTCTCCTGATTGTATAGATTTGTTTAAAATATTCCACGGCATATTAAAAAACATAATGAGGCTTCTCTGGAGGCTGAGGCAGGAGGACCACAAATTTGGGGTGAGTCTCAGAAATTTAGAAAGAGACCCTGAGTCAAAATTTTAAAAAGGGATAGAGTTGTAGCTTAGTGGTAGAGTGCTGTTGGGTTCAATCCTCAGTACCACAAACGAACAAAATACAAAAAAAAAAAAAATCAAAGAAAACAAACAAGGGCTGTGTTGCATAGTCACTAGCCCTCTTCCTTGAAATGTTGCTATGTATGGAAAAGACCAAGAAGGAGTAAATGTGAATATGATCTTTCTAAAGAACAGTATTAGAGGAGCTGGGGATATAGCTCAGTTGGTAGAGTCTTGCATTGCATGTACAAGTTCCTGGGTTCAATCCCTGGCACCACATACACACACACACACACAGCCATTAGAAAATGGAACATCTGAGCATGAGATGAATGCCATTACCTAGAAAGAGGACAGTGATTAGGTGGCAACAAGGCCAAGGTATTTTTGGTACAGTTGGAGGATTGTTGGTTTTGCTGAGGCAGAGGACACATGAAGTTGTGAAAAGCTGAAGATATTTCCCATTAAAATTGTGGGGCATGCCAGGCATTTGTTAACCTAGCCTTCCTAACCTCAGGAAGGAAGACCATGAGTTCAAGGCCAGCCTCAGCAACTTAGCAAGCCTTGTGTCAAAATAAAAAAGGGCTGGGAAGTAGCTTAGGTGTAGAGTGCCCCAGTACCAAAAAAAAAAAAAAAAAAGTAAATGCTGGGAATGTGGCTCAGTGGTTGAGCACTCCTGAGTTCAATTCCTGGTAACCCCCACCTCCCCCCAAAAAAAGCAGATTGAAAAATCCTTACAAAAATTTGGAAAAGTGAAATTGTACGAGAAATTTTAAAAGATAACCTGATTTCCAGCTCCAGGATGCAAATGAAACCTGATATGTTAGTACAACCTGGGCACCAGGAATTTTTAAACTCCTCGGGTAATTCCAGTAAATAGCCAAGATTAAGAACCATTGATTTAGACTATGCACAAGGATTAGATGCAGCTGAACAGATAACACTCAACACATGCTCTTAAGATTCTTTTGCCTCCTTGTTTCTGTTTTTGCTTCTTTTTGCTAATTACATAACATCTCTGACTTGGTTTTTTGATCCTGTCACTTGGATCTTTTTTGTTCTGACTTCACAGGGACTGACCTACTTGAAACTAACTTTGTTTCTGCCCCGTACTGACTATTGCCAATATGCTCTTTCAAACCTGTTTATAGCCCTCAACCACATCTGTGTACCAAATTGGGCTTGCTACACATGATCTAGTGGTGGCAAATGTTAACCATGAAAAACAGCTTAGAGGGAGACCTACAAACTAGAAATCAGTAAAGAAGACAAAATGACTGGAAGGGACTTTTGGAGTTAAAAATTTTATTCCCGCTACATAGTTTTTGTTGTAGCATTCCATGAAATTATAATAAAATTTAGTTGTGTACACAAGTGAATATAGGATTTCAAGGAAGGCATGTGATAGGTAGGGCAAATCAAGAAAATAATGGAGCTAGACACGATGGTTCATGTCTGTAATCCCTGTGGCTAAGGAGGATTGCAAGTTCAAAGCCAGCCTTAGCAACTTGGGAGACCCTAAGCAACTGAATGAGAACTTCTCTCTAAATAAAATACAAAATAGGGCCTGGGATGTGCTCAGTGGTTGAGTACCCCTGAGTTCAATCCCCAGTACCAAAAAAATGAGAAGAAAAAAAATGGAAAAGGTCAACATCTATTTTTATAATCTTATAGGAATGAGCAAAATCTTACTTCAAATCGTTTTACTCACGCAGCTGCTCTGCTAGACACAGGGGAGTGGAGTAATTTTTTTTTTTTTTTTTTGCGTGGCTCCTACACTCAGGGAACTTGCAGTTGGTTTCATTGTAAACCTACCATCATATTCCAACATCAAAGGGTGTGTTGGTAAGAGCCCTTCTGGGTCCAGCGTTCTGTCTCCCATGGTTTCTCTGCAGTGCAGGAAATTCTTTTTAAACAGAATGTTTTTCTTCAACAATACTCATTATGTTTGAATTATTCCTTAACAGGACTGGGGATATAGCTTAGTTGGTAGAGTGCTTGCCTCACATGCACAGGGCCCAGGGTTCAATTCCCCAGCACCACAATAAAAAAAAAAAAAAAATAAGCCATAACAATTCCTGGGGCCACCCTTTCATATAACAGTATAAGAGCAGACCCTGGATTCCATAGACCTTAGTAAACCATGATGGTTCTATAGCTTATATAGTTAGTATCATAATACTGTCAATTTAGGTAATAGATGGAAGTGTCTGTTTTGAAGGAGAATGATGAAATCCAATACAGTGTAGATAGTGACGTGAGTATTAAAGAATTAGCTCAATTGAAAAAGTTCTAATTTGGTAGAAGCCTCAAGGTAGGTGTGGAGGGTAACCTTAGTATTCTTCTACTGAAGCCCTTGAGGTGATTTTTATCTATCCTAGATTATTTCATCATGTTTATTTTCCCTTAGATCCTCAAAGATTCAGCTTGCTTTCCTTTTTTTAATTTGTTCTAATTAGTTATACATGACAGTAGAATGCATTTTGATGCATCATATGTATATGGAGCATAATTTCTCATTCTTCTGGTTATACATGATGCAGAATCACATAGGTCATGTAGTCATATGTTGCTTTTCTTTATACAGCCATCTTCTGGGAAGGTTTCCTTCCTCCATTGGAGTAGAATGATACCACCTTAGCTCCTCTACTCTCTTTGCTAACTGATTGTCAAATAACTATGCAGGCCCCTTTTAAGTTTTATGGCTAAGTGGGAAAACAGTGTTGGGTTTGGGTACTGGGGACTGAACACAAGGGTACGCAACCACTGAGCCACATCCCCAGCCTTTTTTATATTTTACTTAGAGACAGGGTCCCACTAAGTTGCTCAGGGCCTAGCTAAGTTGCTGAGGCAGTCTTTGAACTCATGATCTTCTGCTTTAGCCTTCTGAGTTGCTGGGATTATAGGCATGTGCCACTGTACCCGTCTTGTTAGTTTGTTTTAATAGTATCTTAGGTTCTTTAATATACATGGTGATATGGCTCAAACTGCAAAGAGCTTGGGGTTCCTATCATGAAGCCTGGACTAAACTGAGATCGACTCCAGAATGGGCTGGTGGGATTCTCAGCTTCTGAGAGAAGCGCAAAAAGGGAAGCAAAATTGTTTAGCAGATGTTGTGCATTGCCTGGAAATGTCAGTTGCCTTTTTAAAAACATTTTATTCTTTAGTACTTCAGACTAAACCCAGAGCCACTCCACCACTGAGCTACATCTTCAGCCTTTTTTATTTTGAGACAAGATCTCACTGAATTGCTGAGGCTGGCCTCAAGCTTGCAATCCTCCTGTCTCAGCCTCCTGAGTTGCTGGAATTACAGGTATACACCAGCACATCTGGCTGTCTTTCTTTTTTCTTTTCAGTGGTACTGGAGAATCCAGGGGTGCTCCATCACTGAACCACATTCCCAGCCCGTTTTGATTATTATTTTGAGATAGGGTCTCACTAAGTTGCCCAGTTTGGCCTTCAACTCATAATCTTCCTTCAGCCTTGTGAGTTGCTGGGAGTATGGGTGTTTGCCACTGTGCCTGACTTGTCAGCTGCCTTTCTGTATTCATTTAAAATGTCTTCATATGCCAAGAATATTCACATTTTCTAAAAGGGGAATTTACGGCTCCAAAGGTTCTACAGTTCACATAAGATTGCACAGCTAGTAAATGACAGGATAAGGATTGGCTCCCAGGCTTGACTCTTCTCATTCCCTTTGCAGGATGGATTATCTGGCTTCTCTGATTATGCCCAGAGCTACCTCCATACCAAGGAAGCCCCTAGGTGGCAAAGATATTGATAACTTCTGATCAGGACCATGAGAATTATTATATTATATTTGAGGTGACAGTGAGAATTTAAGTATCAATTGGTAAAGGCTAAGAAAACACCTAAACAAATATAAAAACCAAAAATAGAAATTGAAAAACCAAGCGTAGTTTATCTAGAGGCAAAGCAAATGGAATGTCAGTGTCTATGTCAATGGAATGTGGACCTCATTGTCTTTTAGAAGAAATCTCTGCTTGGAATATAAGGACAACAACAGAAGATAAATGCCAGATTGAGGCAGATTTGGCCTTTGATAGCATACTAGGAAATTAAAAGAATACAAACAGAAATGTTAATACAATACACAGGGGATCTGGTAGCGTTGGTCCATAGTATCAGGGAGCTACTAGGTATCCCTAGGCACTTTGTGTTAAGAGATGAGGGCGCCAGGGTTGCAATGTCAGCCACTGAGAGGCTGGTCTGAAACACAGGGTAATAATGACAGCCAGAATATATCAACAGCTTACTGTGTACCCAATACCATTGTACCACTTCACGTATGTAAACTCATTTATTCTCACAAAAATATACAAGTTTTCTGGGTACAGTGGCATACACCTGTAATCTCAGTAGCTTGGGAAGCTGAGGCATGAGGATCTTGAGTTCAAGTCCAGTCTCAGCAACTTAGCAAGACCCTAAGCAATTCAGTGAGACCCTGTCTATAAATAAAATGTCAAAAACAGCTGGGAATGTGGTTCAGTGGTGAAAGTACCCCTGGGTTCAATCCCTGGTACCAAAAAAATTTACAAATTAGATACCTTTATCACCTTTATTTTATAGATGAAGAAATTGAAGCTGACATGCAAAACCTGTTTTGTATGGACATATACAAAAGTTGATTGTTCATAGAATGGCTAAGACTTATAGATAGTATAGAAATGAAGAAAGAGACAACTCATATAGATTTCTTATATTTTCTTTCCAGCTGATTCTTC